TTTTTCGATGGATAATCCTCCTCGATTACCTCGATCACATTCATTCAAGAAAGCAAAGAATATTACGAATGATATAAAAGAATTCTCGAAGAAAATCTCTCTCAAGCCGAGGAACAAAAATACCACTCGATCATCCCATCTCCAATCGCTTCCTGTTCCCGCTGAAAAATCAAAAAGAGAGAAGATCCCCCGATAAATTAAATCCAACCCCCCGCATCTAGGACTCGCTCGTCCATCCACTCTAGCGTCTCGCTCCAATGATCCAGATCCATTTACCCAGTTCTCGCTCGGGTTCTCGCCACGAGCCAGGTCGAAACAACGAAACCGGGTAGAAAAGAGGCAGAGAAACGCCTGCCCTCCACGACCGACGGTGAACCGACCGGCACGCGCAACGCTCCTCCTCTCCTTCCTCTTATCGAGAAAAAGAACCGCTAGACCGGTGGCCCCCTATCTAACTGGTACATCGTTTTCGAACGGACCGTTCGCCAGATTCCACGCAAGATTGCGAGAGCCTAGGCCTATGCCTAGGCCTAGGGGGGCGGGGGAGAGAGAGAGAGGAGGGAGTTGACCGCCTCCATTCCATTCCAGTGCACCGTGTCACCCGTGCTTCCGGTTACGGCTCGCGCCGCTCTCACGGTCAAGGTCAAAGTCAGCTGGAGGGGACGATAATTGTTCGTCGCTGCGTGGGTGTGGCCGGGGTTATCGAGCCGTGGAAACTCGCCTGTTTCTCCCTCTTTCTGTGCGCGTTTCTGTCTGGGTGAGTGGGTGGTTTACTCGTCGAGGAGCAGGACGAAAGTGTAGCGAAGTGTTGGAGAGAAGAGGAGAAGAGTGGAGGAAAGCGATGAAAGTTGAATCGAGTCGTTGGACGGGACGATGAAAAGTCGATGAAGAGTTTGGACGTTACGCACGTTGTAACTTTTGGAATAATTTAAATCTAATTCTCTTTCTTTCGAGAAAGATTCGCGAACGAAGTTTGGATATTTCGCACAATTGTTAAGGAGTCGTTGAAAAGAATCGAGGATACGATGATTCGTTAATTCTTTTTGCTTGGATCGATTTGATCGGTCGATCACGCGATTCTCAGCGTGGTGAATGTTAATACGCGGTTCCGATCTCTCTCCTGTTTCTGTTTCTGGCATGGAGAAGGGATTAAACTCGCGCTCGTTTCGAGTTGTTGGAACGAGGGTTGATTTTCGGAGGTTTTGAGAGAGGAAACTTGCGGGTTCTGAAAATGGGGTGTGTAAAGGGATTGCGGTTGTCGCGGTTTCTCAAGATCGATGGAAGCTTGTTAGGGATGGTTTGTTTGCCGACGAATGCGCCTATCCTTCTTTTCCACGACGAATTTCACCGATCGATCGAACCGAAAAAAAAAAAAAGGGAAAAAGAACGAGAAAAAAAAACATCGAAATCGAAGATGGAGACGGTCGGTGAAGGGATAAATCGCGCGACATTGCACGCGTGACAGGGAAGATTGTTATTGCGTCGTTGCCATATGTCGATGCATCGTCGTCTTCGTCGTGCATCGAGTTTTCTACAAAGAGCCAATTTTACACGATGAAAGGAAAAAGAGGGGAACAGGAAAACGTCGAGGCAGCCTTGCCAGTTGAAAACCTGTTACTCGGTTATTTGTTACGATTGGGACAAATGGTTTAGTGAAGACATTTAACGCCATATGCTAACGGCGTTAAAGGAAAGGTTTATTGAAATCGATTTTATCCGATATAATATAGGAATTGCGAGTGGAGAAGAGAGAGAGAGAGAGAGAGAGAGAGAGAAAGAAACAAAAAAATACCGTCGAACGATCTTACAGTAGGAAACCTGTTATCTTTGTGAGCGCTCGTTGCAGTATATTCTGTGGACAGTTCTTAGTACAAGTTCGAGATACGTTGGATTAGAAGATACGAAGTTTGAAAGTGGAGAATGTTACTTAATTTTACGTTTCTTATTTTTTCTTTTTTTAACGTTGCATCCGCTGAAAAAGATCAATTAATTCGTAAAGGAGACGAGATGCGTTTCAATGGTAACGCAATGGTAACCGATCGTAACGATAAAATATATTTCTTATTAACGAATTTAATGGAATTATATATATAATAAGGGAGATCCTTCGGCAAGGTCGCGAGCAGGCGTGGTCGTTGAAGGAGTTATCGGGTTTTCTTATCGAAGGTTATTCGGAATAAATTCGTAATTACGAGGCCATCGAGGTTTTATACGCGCGCGGTACGGTCGCGTTCGAAAGAGACGCTTCGAAGAAAGGGTTCGCGGAACGCACAAGGCGATACGGTCTCGTAAAACTGGAAGATAAGATAATTCGCGTAAAATCGAGTTTCACCGTTATTATTTTTTCCCCCCTCGTCCGATGTTCAACCGGAATATCCGCTTCATATTGCCATAGAAATTCCTACGGATATTCTGTTCCAAGGATATCTTACGTTTAAAGGGGGATAAAATATCAAGATTATTGAAACGAGCCTCGATTCGATACCTTAACAATTCGATAATTTAATCGAATAAAAAAAAATAGGTAACGTAATTTTACCGCGCGTGTCTTATATTTACGATTACATTTTCCTCTACTCGAATCCTTCAATTATCTCAAATTTACACCGATTTTCCTTCCAACTTGTAAACTTCACCTCGCGCGATTCCATCCACACCCGTGGATTAAAATCAATTCCACGCTTAGCTTCAACCTCCCCGTTATATGATCAATTTTCAAATTTCGATCGTGGCCAGAAGCCACGATCCGTATCCTCCAATTATCAAATTTCCACGGAAACTTTCCTCTTTCCACCCTCGTCCCTTCTAATCGAATTAATTTATCCATTTTCCACGGCGAAGCATACGATAACAAATTTCCTCTCTCTTCCCTTCCCCCAGAGATACTTTTACACACGGCACGGGGATTGATCTCGTTACGGAGGTATAATCCGATTCTTTTTCGCCCTCGCCTCGATAACAGGTCGAACGAAATGGGGCCCGGCGAAAATTGTTATCATTATCGTGGAAATTTCATCGCCGGCTTGGCTAATTGATTCCCCGTGGTGGAAGAAAGTATCCATCGGGGCGACTCGATGGGGGATCGTGATTGAGCGGGAGACAAGCGGGGGTGACACGCGATGGGAATGGAAATAATTCTCTTGGAAGGGCGTTCGATGCCATCTTGGGATGCGGTATCGTTATCCAACTTTTGTAGGATAGGATGGATAATTTGGGATAATTGTTTGGAATTGATCGAACGATGCTAGAGATAACTTTGCCAGTTGCGTATCAATCTTTCCATTCTAATACCAATTATTTTTCATTCCGTAATTTCTCGCCAATAATAAAGGCGTTAAATGTTTCTTTTCGTGGGAAAAGAAGATACGTTCAGAGTTCATAATAAAGAATTTGAAGAATTTGATCGATCGATGCTTTTTAACGGAGAAGCTTTTTAGATTTAAAAATGAGCCAGAAGTGAAGTTTGGACTTTGCGCGTAGTTGTCAGTTGCGTATCAACGAAATAGCAATTATTTTCCTTTTCATAATTTTTCGCCAATAATAAAGAGGAAAAATGTTGCTTGTGTAAAATGAAGATACGTTTAGAGTTAATAATAGAAATTTAACGGAGAAGTTGAATTTTTAAAAAATGAATCGGAAGTTTGAGCTTTGCGTGTAGGATGAATTTGGAATAATTGTTTAGAATTGGGGCTAGAAATTTGTTCAACCTTGTCAAGGAATAAAGGGAATTAAATGTTTCGAGGCGAAAAATGAAGACACGTTTAGAGGTGACCTAATAACTCGATCGATTCCTTTTCAAGCTAAGAGAAGTTGAATTTTTAGATTAGAAACGAAATTAGAAGCGAGGCTCCACTTTTTTCTCAAAGAGGCGGGAGAAGTTGGTTTCGATTCCATAGAAATGGCGGAACAGTGGATCACTGTGAGAGAAATTTCCAGAAAGGGCACACATGTCGGTCCAAGATTCTAGAGAAGTTGAATTTGGATCGTAGAACTGCAATTAGGACCATGTGTCTTGTTAATGGCGCATATCACGGCATCCCGATGTTTGTCCAACAGCTCCCCCGCTGCGAACTTCCTACCCCCGAAAATCAGTTTTTGCACGCCAACATTCATCGCCCCGATCCTCCGCCGTCTAATTTATATCCGTCCTGTTTATCGCCGTTTCACGATCCATATATATATTATAAAAAATAATACACGACGAGGAATATCGTGCAAATTTCGAGCAAATTTGAACAAAAAAAAAAAAACAAAGAAAATCGTCTAAATTATTTCACGTATCGTCCCTCGAAACGAGAGAGGCAAACGAATTGCAATGTTCCAATGGAAACTAATAAGCCGAAAGAACAAACGGACCCTTTACGCCGAGTCCAAACTCGCCCCTTTTCAAGGGGTTAACGAGCGAGCTTGGAGCTTTCGCCGCTTCAAAAGCGTTTTGTCGCTGCGGATAAACGCGACATCGTTTCAAGATGAAAGCGGGGGATTTGAAGAAGGCTGAGAAAATGGACGGGAGTCTGAAGGGAGCAGCGCTTCGAGGAGTTTTTACAGCACTTAGAGAGAGGCGACGTGGCCGCGTTTCGTACGAATTCAGCGAAAAAAGAAATGTTGGAACGGTCCTCCTCGGTGCCCCTTTGATCCTGGAAATTAGCTTACAGTTTATTGCATTTTTTACAGCGCCTTTCATCTCCGGAATCTCACGCGCGCGCCGGTTAAAATTTCTCATCAATATGCAGGGAGGGCGAGAGCGAGGGGAAGGAGGGATAGGGGAGGAGGGGGGGGGAAGAAAGGGGGGAAAGATAAATGTGGAGTGAACATGATCATGACGGGGAGGGGAGGGGAAGGGATCAACGGTGGTGGAGATGAAGGAAAGCTTTGACCGAGGAGGAGAAGGAGAAGGAGGAGGAGGAGGAAGGAGAGGATCGTGAATCCCTGTGGATGAAATCCGACGACTTATCAGCCCGAGGGAAAGAAGTTCTTTATTGAATTACGCGTGGGTAACGATGCAGGGAACGGTGAACGGTTCTGATGATCGCCGAGTGGACGGCGTCAATTTTGAGCAGGGTTTCGCTCTCGATGGCTCGTTTACGGTGGAAAGTAAGAAAATACGATCATTAGTAGCCGGCTACGAATATAATTTATAATAAGAGAAGATGTTTCGAAGGATTTTCGATTTTTCCAGTTTGGGATACACGTACGCAAGAGATGTAACGAGTGATCGTTAATTCTTTCGGTTTAAACGAACCGAAAGTATATATATTTGTAAAGGATCCGATTACAAAAAGAAAAAAAAAAATAAATAAATAAATACGGATAAAAGTTGTGTGCGTGAGAAAAATCGAAGAGAAAGAAATCTCGCGGAATTCTTTCCGTTCCGTTTGGAAGGCGAACGGAAGGCGGGTATAAATATAAATTTCAACTTGTACACAAACGTAAATGTCAACTAAACGTCAAATTGTAGATATTCATAACAGAGAATGTTCGCGTGATAAGCCATACTTCGTGCCTGACTGTACAAGCGACAACCTTCGACCGTGGTATTATAAGTATTCACCGTACGCCGCCATTCAGTAATTTTTACAACCGTTCCAGGAACGCGTCAACAAACACCGTGATAAAATTAAATCACGACGTTCCGCGATTGAGTCCCAAGATAGGTGTAAGGTAAAACGTAGAAAACGACACCGTTTTTCCTTGAACCGACTCTCCATTAACTCTCCATTAATTGAAACTACTGGTTACCTCGGTATTCGCGTTGCGCGAAAATCGCGAAAAGAAACGGCTGAAGGGTGTAATTTCAATCGATTCGCAACAGGCGTTGCGCGCGTGTGGTTGTTCGCCTCGTGGAATGAATGTTGCCCGAGGAATTACAGCCCGAGGGTGTGAAAGAAACCCGCGACAACCTATTACTAACAGTTTACACACGGTTAAGAAGAAGTTTGTCGAAGCGTTGGAATCTCTCGAATTGATTAGAAGGTGAGTGAGGTGTGAAATTGTCGTCGATATTTTAGCAAGGATTTATTGGACGCTCGATGAACACGTACTGGTATTTAGGTCTTTATGCGATGTTTAATTATTCGCGGAGAGCCTTCATTATTATTCCTGGAATCGCAGATACATCTTTCCAGCCTTTGTTGCGCTCCACGGTGTTGTAATCCGCGTAATGGGTGAACCAAGTCTCGTTTCCCTGATATAGCGCCCAATGTCTCTTGCCCCTAAGCCAATCCTATAATTTCCATAACTCACTTTCCAGAAATTGAGAAATCGTGAACGTTCATCTTCTATTTCTTTGCAAACTCGTGGATCGTGGAAAAATTCATCGTGGAGGATTCGAATCTGTCGACTCTGTTCGATGCATTCCTCCTCCCCCGTTTCTTTATCGAGACCTGGATCGTTGGACTTGGCATCGAGATGGACGCGAGCTTTTTCATCGAGAAGAGGATCCTTCTCGGCGTTTAGTCATCCAGCCCGCGGCTACGTATCCTCGAAGGAAGAGGAAGAAACCGACGAAGCAAACGACGAGAGAAGCGAGAAGAAAAGGAACGGAGGCGAGATCGCAATCGACAGGCCACGACATCGTCGACGAATCTCGACGGAACGCGAGTTCAAGTTGGCTCGACCGGTTGGTGATGTCACTCAATATTCCGTTTTCGAACAACACGAATCGCCACGAATGACGTCAACGACGCACCCCTCGTCCTCGCCGCTGCACGAAACATCCGCCTCTCCCGCTCTCCGTCTTTCTTCTGGGATAGGGACAGGTAGGCCGAGGAGCGGTTCACTGCAATTAGCAGAGGGGATCGCGGAGGGATTGGAGTTTCGAGGAAATTTATGGGGCGGCTTGATCCCGGTAATTCCAGGCGTTTATTAAAATGCTGCATGGGGTGACGTAATTGGTCCTGTGACGCGGTTTTCGACTCGCCGATCAGGTTTCGCTCAACATCGTTCCTGCCTTCGGATGATGAGACGTGTTTGGAACACTTGGCCTGGAAATAAATTTTCGATTTTTATTTCACGATGAAATTACTGCCACTTCTTTTCATTCGTTACTTCGTTAAATCTAACCGTGCGTAATTTTTTAAATCCCAAGGTGGATATCCTTGCATTTGTTACATCATCGATGTACGCTGAGATAACTCGTAAACAATAGAATTTCGAAGACCTGAGTTTTTTCCCTTCATATCCAGAGGACAAAGTCGCCAATTAGTCGCAGAAGAGTCGACGAGTGGCGCGCGCGATGGCCGGTCGCTTTCTTGCGAGATAACCTGCCAAGTTGAACGACACAGAAGCGCGGCGAGACCGGATGTCGTCTCGCTCGCTTTGTTTCCTCTTGGGCGGGCAGGTCGAGGGAAAAGACAGGCGAGGACATTGTCTGACACGTAGCAATGTCAAGGCCCGACATCTACGCCGGGGTGTTTTCTACGCGAGAGGAAACGCGGTGAAACAAGCGTACTAATAGAGAATGCGAGATCGATCGGTTCATCCGCGCGTGAAAAACGATCGTTTTCGATGAACGACGTGTCTTCGCGCGTCGAATACACCTGACTGACTGCTCGACGCTCGATTCGTTTCATCGAGTTATCTATTGCGATTATGCGCCCTGATCAAATTGAATTAGAGGTTAGGTCGAAAGAATGATACTAAAGGTAAAGATCGCAAGGAAATTGTTCAAAGTTTTGGAAACTAGAAATGGAATAGAATTGTATGCGAATTAGAATTGTTTGCATTTAAAATAACGTGATATGCCATTAAAGTGTGATTTCTAGAAGCCTTGTTGATTTGAAAATAATTGGAAATGTATTGAAATTGGATTAACGAAAGAATTTTGATAATAGTTGAAATTAAATGTTGAAATTGACAAAGGAATTTTCAATTCGAGGACTCGAGTTGGAATAATTGATGAGATGCGACACAAATGAATAAAGTTGGAACGGATTAGTCGTGCATGCAGTCGAAGAACAAAAAATCAAACAAGAATCTTTTTCCTGTATCGTTCAGCCTGTAAGAATTTCCACGGGTTGAACCGGGCGAACCTTTCAAGAAGCGGTATGTTCTCGGTTCGACCAAGAATATCCTAATATTTGAACAGTGATATCATCGATTGCAAATAATTACTGAAACACCGACAAACGATGCAACGGATACCATTGTATACTACACACGTTTGCATTTTGAAGTGTTCGTTTCTTATCCGGATGATGAAGATGGATCGCTTATTTCTTACACAATTCACACGACTAAAAACTATCGTATGCAACAATCAAGATTAAATTAATAATTCTATATAAAAAAAAATATACAATTCTTGTTTTTTCATAAGAAAGTCAAAGTCGAAGATTCTGTCAGAGTTGAAAAGATAACAAGAATTCCGAATTTACATCCATGACATTACGCATTTCTTATTATTAAGTAAGTAATAATCAATTAGAAATATATACGTAATTTTCCTTCTTAGATCAGGCTCGAATTACATAATATCTATAATTGGCCAATAAAAAATATTCTATGCATCCGCATTGTTCATATCAGGTCTCTCCACGTTCTTAAACACAATTATATCTTCATCATTTAATCATTTATGTATATTCTGATATTAATCTAAACATAACCTTTTTCCAACCTATCAATTCGATTTATCTCAAAATCAGAAACCATATCTATTAACTCAAACGAACTCTTCTTTGTCATAAAATAATAATAATCCAACAAAAAAAAGTAAAAATTTTCTTTCAACTACTACACTTTCGACATCAAAAATTTACAAATTTACATCGTAATAATTACCTTTGTATCACATACTTCATCTTCACCTAAGTATCTTGCTATTAATCTAATCTTATCCAATCTGTCAACGATTCAACTCGTTTCAAAATCAGGATCTAACCTAAAATCAACAAAGAATCCACAAATTTTCCAACTGTCTGTCTACCACACCTGCAACACTAAAAATTTACATTTACGATACATTACAATAATTTACAACTATCGTTATACCTCTCTCACGATCTACACGTATCTGGCAACGTGTGAATGAAACGACGAATATCTTAGGACGAGGAAGATCGAAGAGAAAAAGAAGGTGTCGCGTGACGCGTCCACGACGCACGTATCTCGCAAAGAACGACGTGCCTCGCGATGATTCACGCTTGGTAGGACGACGCAGGTGGAACGTACGAGCGCGCACGTCCTCTCGAGAGGAGCGGCGAGGCTCGTACGCGGCGTCGATGACGACGCCGATCAGCACGACGACCGAGATGGAAACAGTCTAGGGTATCATCGTCTATAAATACTCTAATAGCCTCGGGCAAGGACGTCGTTGGTTACGGAGGATGATCCTAGACGACGTTGGCTTCGCCGCGATGGTGCTGACCTCTTCGAGCGGATCGACGCGCGCCCATTGGACGCCTGCTCTCCGCTAATTGGCGTGTACGGTTGTGCGGTGGAACAAGAATCTCTCCAGGGACCTTTGATAATCAGAGGTATTAGCTGGAGGATTTTAGAATCCGTGTGTAAAGGATGGCTTGTGGGGAAGCGGCGTAGTATTATCGAAGCGGATAATGAGCTCTGAAGAATATGTGGAAAGAGAGGAAGAAACCCGTGACCAGTCTTGGGTTTCAAACAGTATTCGAGATTGAGGAATAACGGATCAATTCCGGCAATTCATATTTCCGGTTGTGATGGAGCGATGCGATAGAGAAAGAAGATGGGATTCGTCTTCGTCGATGATATTTGGTTGGTCGTTGATTTTGTGGATTTTTTTTCTTTTCGTAGACTATGGAATTTCCATAAAATTATAGGATACCAGAAAAGAATTGCAAAATTCAATTGTCATAAAATTTAAAATATCTGACAATTTCAATAGTAGTTAAGTTTGAATTCCAAAAAAACCTGAATTATCATAGAATTCTAAAGTATTTGAATTTCTACACTAAACCTAACCTAAAATATTTGAGATGAAACATCTTGTACAAAATTCACATAATATTATATCATTCAGATAATGTTATAGAATTTGAAAATGCTTGAGTTATCAGAAAATTCCGAAGTATGTGATATCTTTTATAGCTGTAGTATGTAAATTACCATAGAATTTCAAAGTTGATAAATTCTAACAGGATTCTAAAGTGTCTTTACTTTTCGAAAAAATTAAATGGCTTCCTTCTTCTTGCAATTGAGTAAAAGTTTAATTATCTAAACTTAAGATTTAATCTAATTTTATTTGTTCCTTTCATGCAATATTCTGAAGAACATTATGAACGTTGAAAAAACGAGGAAGCTTAACGATCAATGTAGTTCTTGAATGAGAAACGACTCGAAACTAGATAATGGATTTGATAATAAAGATCCTTGGATTATGTATGCAAAGTACGAGTTCCTTAGAATGCTTAACGAGTTGGGGTTGCTCTGATAGAAATTGAAACATTGGAGAGGATCCAGCAGAGAATTGAAAAGAGTTAATGAGATGGTCGCCTGATAGTTCCTAATGAATTGATTGCAGTTCAAGCACGTCCTCGCGATAACCTGTGAATTTGTAAATCTCTTTCTAATAGATCAAAGGAAGAGATTAACAACAGAGATTTGTGCGAATGATGGAAGAGATTGTTAAAGAATTAAGATATTTCTCGTTTTCTACTATATTATAATTGAAATACATATTTTTAACTTTTAACGATTATTATATACGTTTTTGTTTGCATAATTGTACTATGCTATCGGAAAAAGTACTTAAATTCTCATAGAATTTCAAATTATCTAAATTCTTTTAAAAATTCTAAAGTAAAAAATATCTGAATTCTCATAATCTCATCATCTTTCAAAATCATTCTCAGCATTTCAAAATATTATTTAAAGATTTCTAAAATATACATAAAATTACAACTTCTCTCATAAAATTTCAATTTTTCTAAATTTCTAGATATCTGAGTTAAAACAGAAATCCAAAATTTTATCGAAAATTGCATAACATTATAATTCCAAAAACTTCTTTTCAAAAAAGTCGCGCATAAAATCAAACGAATAAACCTTATTCGTGTTCTAGATTTCCATGTTTCACAAAGAATATTCTCTTTAAATGGTAACCAAGATATTTCAACAACGATTCCTCGGAAATGTTGATTTATCCATCATCGATGAAACGTTCCTTCACCAATCGTTCAATACTTTCTTCCCAAATGTCGTTAAAGTAATTAAATGAAATCAAAGATAGATAAAATATCGATAGGCAAAAGAACTACGCGAATTAAAGTTCAAAATCGGTGAATTACTTCGAACGATTACTATCATCAGCTTATTATAGTTGACGTAATGGGCTATGTTTCATTCGCGATAACAACCAACAACAATAAGAACACGAGTTAGAGGCCTCCACACGCTCTTTTACCAGGATATTTAAGATCTTTTATTACCATTGGATGATCGGTGGTTCTCGATCGGAGCTTAGATATGTTAATTTGTTTAAATTTGCATCTTTATCATCGTAAACATAATAAACTGAAGAAATATATTGGTAATAGTTGTCTTTTGATTTTTTTATTACCGTAATAGTACGATGAATTCATTTTTCTATTATTGTGCATAATATAAAGTATGAATTATGGCGAATCAATCGTTTGTTTTTTTTTTTTTTTTTGCTTATTCAATTACACAATTGCAACGCTCGTTTTAAATCGATTAATAATCCCAATCCCGAAACGAGGGTAAAAAAAAAAAAAATTATTCTCCGAAATCGCAATGAGGCTTGGAAGATTAATTGTAATACGATCAACATCATTTTGCTCACTCATGATTGATTCGCCAAAATCAAGGTTGTTTTTTTTTTCTTTTTTTAAACATCTTTCGGTTTTTAACCGAAACATCCGCGAACAAATTTTAAAATGTTTCAGAACTTGATTAGATTCGTTAAAGAAGATTCGAATGGAAGGAGCATTTATTGCGCCTCGGAAAGGAAATGTAGACAGTGGATCTACTGAATCAATCGGCTGATCCTTATTTTCTAAATCTGCGAAACAGCGGAGGAGAATTCCATTGAAATCTTTTCGACCATCATCGATCAAGCGTAATTGGGGGGAGGGGGGAACGAAGCGATGAACGTTGGAGGAAGCAAGGGATCGATTAGTCTGTGATTGAGTTACAGGAAGGCAGTCGTTTATTGGCATAATCGATACCTTATCGGTATCTAATAAATACATCCTTGGGAAACCTCGAGCTCGCTATATTCCCTCGACGAGGTTTCTTTTTTTCTTCTTCTTTCTCTTTCGCGAAATCCGCGATTCGAAGAGGAAAAAAATCATGTTAACACCAACCATGTTGGATTATCCTCATTTTTCGAGGCATAATCGAGGTTTCAAACGTTGTTCATCCAGTTAAACGTGGTCTCGTATCGATAACATCTATGTATCGATCTTGTACGATATTAGCGACATCGATTAACATCGATATTTAAAGAAGAAGAGACTTGAAAATTTTGAGAAGTAGTAAGTTAAGTATGTATGTTTCGAAAAAATTAGAATAGAAAAAAAAGAAGAAGAAGGAGAGAGTATAATAACAAATGAAAGATTAGATGATTAAAAAATTGTGCGATGTCATTCCATCGATATTTCGTTATCAATCGCAAAAGAAAGGAGCAGTTGGCAATAGATTATCAGTGAATAACCATCTCATTGCCACCGTATACGCAGCTCACAAACGACGTACGATCGGCAAAACATTCACGCCGACAATCTCGCCGCTGTCGAGGCATGCAGAGGAATGTTGATGCCGTGCTGTCATCGATAAGTGGACACGCATTTATATTTAAACTACATGTAATAATATGAATACGTCGATGTTGGTCTGACGTCGTTCATATGCTATTAACCTTTTTGCCACTGGACGCGTATGTACATACATACATATGTATAGCTGCATGTATATCTCGTTAAACATCGACTAACCATTTGCTGAAAAAACGTGCAAATATTTTCCATAAAATAATTTTTATTTTAATACACAAGAATTAATTAAAATAATTAACATTGGAATAAGGAACAGGATTGACAAAAAAAAAAAAAAAGAAGAAGAAAAAAGAAAAAGAAGAAAAAGAGAAACGTAATAATTTATTTTTAGACGTATAAAATTATATGTCTAATTATTTGTATAACTCTTATTTGTAATCCGAATCCAGTTACATCCAGTTAATTATACAAAATATCTTCGATGTAAATATTCTAAACTTCCTCCTCGAATACCAAAAACACTTTCAGTCCCGAGAGTACCATAACGAAAGGGTTAAGTGGCCGACAGCCTTTAATCATTAACACTGCGAATATTCGCTCTTTCTCTTTCCATCTATACGTATTGCGAAATCGAGTTTTACTCGTCCATTTGGTTCGAAGCAGAAAGCAACGTCCTCACGTGCCGTCTTTAAACTCTCGGCCATCGACCGTCTGGCGAAAATATAGTAACGAAGTGCGAAAAGAGGATGTTGAAACAGCAGGTCGAGAAATTCGATCCAAGGTTTGTGTACCTTGTCGAGCTTCGATCGAGCCGCTTCCTCATCTCTTCGAGTGTTTGACCTCTCGTCAAATTACCACAGCGATAACGATGCCGTGTTTTCAGATCGTTAATAGAGCGAATATGAATTTTGAACGAGTTATTGCTACGAACTGAACGAATATTGAGAGTTAATTGATCAAAACATTGTCTATATCTGAAAATGATAAGTTCGATCGATTCCATCGAATAGAGAATAAGACTATAGGAGAGAGAATTTTCAAAAATAGAATTTCAGAATCGTATTCCTTCTCGTGGATAGAGAAACAGGTCCCAAATTTGAGAATATCACCGTGGAAAGAAGCCTGTCGTATCCAACAGTTTATGCGAGGTCACTGCGATCTCTTACATTTTGCTACACGCTGATAATACACCGGTACCAGCGGTTGCAGCTGTGAAGATTAATGCCATCCACCACGCGAAATCTATTCATCTGACGTTCTCTATCTACAATGTCGGAGAAGTTGCAAACTCGGAGATAAGATAAGAAGAAACGAGAGTTGTCTGACAATTTGCCGATTAACATGACAAATATTTCTCGTTTAAAATGTTGAGGAAACTCGATCTTTCTCGTTCGAAATCTCGACGAAAAATAGAGATACGTAATCGTTATACAATCGATTTTTAGAACGAAAATTCTTCGAGCAACGTTGAAAGTTACACAATGATTACGATGTTGTTGTTCCTTTCATTTAGAGCGTTGGCTCGAGCAACGTCTTGAAACATCGTTTTAAACATAATTGTTGCAACGACCGACCATTCGATTCGCTCCATTCGAAATCCAGGAGGTGTTTGACAGATGATCCTAAATAAAATCGTATACTCGGCTCTCGTTTTATCTTTCTCACCCATGAAAAAGTTAACGCCTCGAACTTTTACAAACACTGGCCGGCCGGATCCTAAAAACTGGCAGACGCGATCCCAGGTCAAATATTAGTTCGTTAACGTATCAACCACGGCTTTTTCCGCGATAAAGTTCGTTCACCTTTGCCACGCACGCCTCCCTCCCCCCTCCGTGGCCCATCAATTACAATCGGAATGAAAAGTACCCGCGGCAGTACGCGTGTTGTTTCCTTTCGGTGAAAATGAAAACGCATGGACGAATATCGTTATGTTGGTAGCCCGGGGCTACGCGATAACAGAGTGCGCCTATAATTCTCTATCCTGCCTAGGTGACGCGGTGTGTTGATTTAACGAGAGGAAGATGTCGGCGAATTGGTTGTAGAAAAATTGGTGTTGAAATTAATCGACGCAATTTGTCGACGGTTATTTTCTTAATTTACTGTTACGCTCGTGAACAAATCGCTATAATCTAGTCGTATCTGCCTCTGATGGGGTTGAGCGCAGTGGTAACGTTGTTTAACCTTGGCGAAGGAAGGAAGGAAGGTGAAAGTACAGTTACTTATGAGTGAATGCTTTAAAAAAGGAATGAATTGGAGGTAATTTGAAGTCGTATCGATTCGCGTGAGTATCGATTCTTCGAAAATATAAAATATATGTACAACGAGTGTGTATTAAATGTTTCTTTTTTTTTTTTAATAATATTCATAGGAGAAGAAAAAAACAATAGGGAGAGCAAGATATAGGAGATATTTTCGAAGTCGAGGATGTTTTCGACAATCTGAATCCAATGAATTTCTCTTCGCTTGAAAGTGGCGAGAATCGAATCGATCCTCGAGTCTTCCACGAATCCTCACCGGGTCCCAAAATAGAAGGTGAACGGTGACGTGACCGATGATGGAACCGTTGTATCAATACGCTTTTTCTGACGATCGGATTTCCAGGTATGCCTCTTCGATTCTCCAGGAGAGATGTCGTCGACCCTTGGAAACAACCAATCCCTGTGGTGGTTTCTCGCCTGACACGAAACGTTCCTTTTTCCAGGCGTAGGCGAGGAGGAGAAGAAATCGAAAGGACCAAGCCGCAACTCTGTTGAACTCTGGAGGAGGGAAAAAGGGTCAACCACCTTGTCCGCCGAAGAAGAATGCCGATTATCCTAATGCTTGTCCTGCTCGTGTGCTATCGTGCGCTCTTTCTCGGAGAGGTGAGTTTAGAATTCTTCAGCTAGATATTTCCGATTCTTCTTCTATCGGTTAACGTACTTTAACGGATAAGACGGAGACCAATTAGCTTCGTCTCGAAACGATTATCCCGCTGTTTTCGATCTTTGCTATCCTCGCTATGAATAATTCCTTCGAAAATTTATCTCTGTTCTCGTTTCAAAAACAAATTCCAAATCTTACGTTCGATTTGTTTCTTCCTCCGATAAATTCTAAGAAGAATAGACTTCCAATCGCTAATCTTAAGATGGAAATATCGTCGCTATTTCTTTTTCCAACAAGTTCTAAATCTTCGATTCGCATAAAGATTTCTCGTTATCCTTCATACAAATTTCAGAGGAGGTATGTTTTTTGTTGTTTCGATATCAAAGGTAAAAAACACTTTTTACTCGCGCATCGATCTAAAAATTCCAAATCTTCTATTCAATTAAAAATTATTTTTCGGATTTTCGGGAACTTATATCTTATTTATTTCTTCTTTTAATAAATTCTAGAAAAATAGATTTCCAATTGCTAATAACTAAGATGGAAATATCATTACTTCTTCTTCTAGCAAGTTCTAAATCTTCGCTACAAAGATTCTCAATTATTCTTCGTACAAATTTCAAAGAAGAACATATTTGTCTCTCAGTAATCATTTACATTTCATTGTCTTAAGATCAAAAATAGGAAACG